TCATTTTAAATTACTACAATTTGGATTCTTCCCTCATGTTTCGTAAAGACTCATCACCTAATCATCATGGCCAGATAGTCAAAATAATAATTATTTCTATCAATCAAAGGGATGGAACCAAAACAGCAGTCAAGTCCTGGCGCAAAGCCCACTGATATTTTCCTGGCAATTTCGTACTGCCTGCAGCAATCACAAACAACTAATTACAACTTTTTTTCAAACGTGTTTCAGACTGCATAGATGATTCAGCTATCATTTAAATGAAATTGATCTGATTAACTTCTGATTACAATCATTCACAATACCCAACCCCCAGCATATCCCTTTGCCTCTAGCAGCTGCCTCCAGATAATGTATGTATATTTCACTTCCTTCACTTCCACTCAAAGCCAAGACTCCAGGGAAAAAGGCACATAACAAAGGTCCCATTGTAAATCTGTGTTGTATCCAGCCTGTGTTTTCATAATGAACACAATGAGATCTTACTGTTTGAAGCTTTGATAGGGTATCATTTTCAGCACAATAATTCTCATCATGAATATAGAACTGGGCCATTCACCCATCATGTCTATTTCTTTTGGCTGAGAAACATGCTAACCGACTCAATCCCACTTTGAACCTCCTTCAAGTGCATATCCAAGTACTTTTTAAATATATGCCTTTACTACCTTTTCACACAGTGGTTTACAGACCTTCACCAGTCTCTAATTCTTCTGTCAAGAAAGTTAAATGTAAGCACTTTAGTAACTAACCTCACTACATTCAAAACTAGCCCCTCCTGTCCACTGTATCTAGGTTCCTCAATTATAAAAAATTCATACAATCGTATCAATTTTATATTTTGTTCCTGAAAGAGTTAATACAGGGGGAACAAAGGGATTATTGAGCTCATCGCAAACATCACTGCAGGCTGGTTATTCAAGTGAATTGAACATTTGGGCTTTCATTTAAAGAAGAAAAGAGCAAGCTTTCAACAAGTGACTGAAAAGAAAATTGTAATTACCAAAACTCGAGTGATCATGTTTGTGTTAAAAAAACATTTGTCAAGGGATTGTCAATACGGGACACTTTTTCAGGGGAAAGCAGAAAGAACAAGGAGACAACTTAACAACACCTGTAACAAGATAAGAGAGGCACCTACTCCACCTGCCCAGCCACAAATACCCAATTTCTGGGATCACTGCTTCTAAAAGTCTAAAAGAACGTTTAATTGTACCAGAGTGAATGTTTATAATTGTAACCTTAGGACCAGCATATAAATAAGGTACATAATAATTCAAACAATATATGGTGCATGTACAATAACTTCAATAGAACGTGATGCTCTTAACCAGCTGTTGAGCTGTTTCATGTCTTCCATTTTGTTGAAGCTAGAATCAAACGAACATGAAACAACTGACAAGTAGGAAATGTTCTGTTTGTCTGCAAAGTGACTGACAAACGCTGAGCCAAGAGCACAGCTGAAACAAAACCCAAAGGGCATATATCACTCCAGATTAATCCACAATATGTTTTAAACAGACAGACAATGTAACAGTAATATAGAATTAAAGGATTAATGAAAGATTAGGGTAGGGCTGGACGTGATAGGTTGGGAGTTGTTTCCATATTTTCATTGTTCCAGCAGTAAAAAAGGTTTCTCCTGAATTTCTCATTGGATTTAAAAAGGACATCACTTAATCATTTAAAAAATTGTTAACACTATTGATGACAATAAAAAGGTCAGATTAATGTTTCGAATGCATTGTTTTTATCATTCATTTGATTTTTAATTAAAAAGACAGCAAGAAATAAAACTGGTACTAGTCTATCTTCACAATTATACAAACTAGGACTGCACTGTTAAAACACTGAGGTCCTTTTAAGAAGTTAAATCATACATGGCATACATACTTCCATAGTTAATATAGGCTTAAACTATTTTAGGTAATAGTGAACTTTATTTTAGAAAGCTTAACTGAATTGATTGTCTAATCTAGCAATAGTTTACAAGCACAGCAATTCTTCATCTTTACATGACGGTGATATGACGAAGGCTTATAGTAAGTTTGAGAATATTCTCAAGGAAGGCATTGGCTTCTGCACGAGAATTTTGGATTCTTCCTTTCTGTTGTGATTGGAACCAGGTGGACCTTGTTGACTACAAGACCTTGATTGGGATTGTTAACTCAGGCCAGTCAGTTAAGCCCTGGCTGACCAATATAAACAGGCGGTTTAGAATCTCCTCCGTTCAGGAGACTGACTCCAACCTGGCTGGTCACAGCCAGTGTACTGTGCACAAAAAAAAATAAAAAAGGGACTTGGTCATGGAATACTGACCTCTGTGCAGTTATTTCACTTTCAATGGGTTGATGTCCCCACCAGGAGCACCAATTTCTCGAAGTTATTCTCAGACATTGTTTCAGAAAAGGCCTAATTATGTCTGAAGGTGTAGACCTTTGCCTTAAACAGAATAAATCAGCAATTCAATGCCTGAAATAGATGATTTATCAGACCCACTTCTTGGAGCTTGATGTTCAATTTCACATTTTATAAAATGTGTAGATTTCTTAGGCCTGTCAATTGTATCAACTATTTTGTTTAGCAATTGCAAAAATTTGACAAGGTATTTGAAGGTCAGTGCATCAACTACATATCTTTAAATGGTGTGGGGGAGTATTTGCCTGGAATATGAGGCTTCTTGTCCAAACCTCTCTCAGTCACTATAGGCCATGCATGATGGACATTAACATTGTTTCTGTGGGACAGACAGTAGCACTGACTGCAGCACTGTCCTTAAAAAGAAATTGCTGTAGAAATTCAGCAGGTCTCTGGAGAGAAAACACAGTCTATGTTTTGGGTCCAGTGACCATTTTTTAGAACCGCTCTGCGCTTGTAGGACAGACAGCAACATTATGACAGGCAACAGCACTCCAACTGTAGGACATGCATACATCAGCACCTTGACTAGCATCTATGGGAAACGCAACAGCTCTGTCACTGCAGGGTGTGTAGATGCCAATGGATATCCTGAAGGACAGACAGACAGACAGCTCTGGTTATTGGCTCTGACCAAAACAACACAACGTGACAACTTAATGAAAACTGAATGAACTGGGGATGCTGTAAATCAGAAACAAGGACAGTAATTTGCTGGAAAAGCTCAGCAGGTCTGGCAGCATCTTGGTGAAAAATCAGTTAACACTTCAGTTCTGAGGAAGGGTCACTCGACCCGAAATGTTAATGCTGATTTCCCTCCACAGATGCTGCCAAATCTGCCGAGCTTTTCCACAATATGACAACTTGTTGCTTTTGAAAACTTTTTCAAACATCACAGTAACCTTTAGTAGAGTTAATTGACTTTTTTTGGGAAGGGAGTCGTGAAATGAAATCAAGTCTCCCAAATTTATTCCAAAAATACACATCAAGAATAATCAGAAATAAATGAGAAAATTTGTCATTTAAACAGAACACTAAACAAGTACGGTGTACCAGAAATGACAAGATCTAATCCTCATCTAAGAATTCTACATATCCAGAAAGTTGACCTGAGTATTAACATGAATACTCTTACATACTTCTGGGCCTGTGATTTGAGATCATAGGAGAACTGGGCCCAAACATACACACTGCCCACAAGCTCAATTTACTTGACCGCCTGCATTCAGATGTCGCCTGCACAACAGCTAGTTTAAACTGAAAGTTAGCCCTGTAAAACCAAACTGTTTTCCCAGTTTCCCTCATCTGATTTCCTAGTGATAACTGATAGTACCTCTCACCACTGTTTAATCACAACACAAGGTAAATACTACTTTTTGATCAGTAATATACCTTGCCAACACAAATTTCTGCTTGCTTCACAGGCCAGAAAACATTTGCACATCTAAAAATGCATTATCTTTGTTTTAATAGATCAAGTGCAATAATATTGGTCATGGCTAATCAAAGTTTATCCAGACCAGGCTGTGAACTGTAATGATCCCAAATGATAGTAATATAGGACAAATCAGATCCGAGGGTGAAATCTGGCTTGAAAGACCATAGATTTTATCTTTGCAATTTGGTTACCATTGCAATCAGACACTGAACACATTCACACCAGGTTGTTAATGTACTTTTAAGAAGAATGCAAGCTTAGTACACAAAAAGAAAATAAAGCCAAATACATACAATTTATAAAGATCTTATCATAAACAGCAAAAAGGTTCAACTCTTTTGCTCCTGAAATGTTCTTGCAGATGTTCAACCCCAGTGAAATATCTACCTTGAAGAATCACTCCTAACCTTATTTTAACATTTCTTTACTGAACTGAAAAGGTCAGAAGCATTTCCTTTTGGAACAATTCTGCATATTCACCTGACAGGATTCTCTCTGCTACTGCCCACCATGAGAGATACAGACATAGGCTAACTTACTGACTTTTCCCTGACTCTGAGACTGCTAAAACAGTCTAAGACACCTTTCTGGCTCTGATGGTCTGAAGACTTCCATAAACTTAAAAAATAAAACTGTCATTCAAATGGAGTGGATCTTTTCTTCTGAACTCAACCTACTTGTGGCCCTGGCCTTCTGACTTTTCTACAGGCCACAAAGGTTTCACTTAGAAAACTCCCCAGTAATTATTTGCACAGTTACATGCTTTCTTGTAAAAGTTGTCTTTAATTCACTGCTCTAATTACTTTCTGACTCATTTTTTAAACAAAAAAAGGCATAACGACACAGTATTGAAAATAGAAAACTCATTTACCTCTACTTCAGAATCCAGGTTCTCAGAGATAACTGGGATTATTAGCTTTCATCACAGTATTTTAAGATATAACATAAATTCAACTACAATTCTCAGAGCTGCACCTTGGGCTGGAAACAAGCCCAACTCCTCCTTATGGCAATTTGCATCTGCAGCTATTAAAAAGGAGAATTTACAGTTTTTCCACAGCATTAAAGCTGCTCACAAACATCAGTCTCCCTTTCTTGATGCAAACATCCCTCGCCTTCAGAACACTGATCCTTGGGAACTTACCATTCCATGGCCACAGTCAGTTCCATCAGCCAGTGGCATATGCTGTGTCCGGCAACCTCTGTGTACCCCTTCCACACTCGTGCACCATAGTCGCTTGCATTGTTTCTGCATAAAGAATGAGTTAATTTGTAATGTGGTAACTCTCCATCTACTTTTAAAAGCACAAAAATATATTGTGCAAATTCAACCACATGGTTGTTCAATTTATTAAAACCATCCTGCAAAGTACAAAGTTTGGTGGATCAAGGGAAGTGCTTTTGACCACATGTTCCAAAGTTATGCTTACCTGTGACATGTAGATCTGATCCTGTGAGAAAACAATTAATGCTCAATTTCAAAATGTCATCAGTATTTCTCATAATAAGCTCCATTTCCTTAATTCCAACATAATACATTTCCTTTGGGTTTTTTTTGGACAATAAACTCACCAATCTGAAACCCTGTTTCCTTCTCCCCTGATGCTGCCTGAGTATTTACAGCACTTTATGTATTTAGTTCAGATTTAAAGCATACATTTACACTTTATGCTTTGAATTCCAATTTGGCTCTACATGTTTTGACTGCTTTTTTCTTCCCCCAAAGGCGTGAGAAAGACCAATTTAAAACGAGAACATGAATAATTTAAGTAACGATTAGCAATGTAAAAGACCTGGCATTTACAGATGGTATTTGAACAAAGAATTTTCCCTTGTTTTGAATGTTAAAAACCTCATGATTTCCAAATTTGCATTATAGACAATTAAATATTTCTGAAATGCACTTGCTGTAAGGAAATGCAACAGCTAATTTGAGGCACAGTTATGTTCCACGAACAGAGTGCCAGCAAAGTACTGGCTTCGTGGTTTTTTGTGGAGGGGGTCGAACAAACAAACAGTTGGGACATCACAGACAATGCTCATTCTGAACAATGCGGTCCAGTCTTTGATGTCAATCTGAAAGGATAGAAGACACTTCAGTTAAACATGTTTTGCTGTTGATGACAACCCATCACAGATGAACACTATCACTATTGTAAGGACCAACTTCTAAAAATACCACTTTATAAAAATGAATTTGAGATCAAGGTATAAATTTCCTTTCTTGCCAGAGATTACTTTGATTGTACGCAAACATCACCAGAGCCAGAGCCAAAAGCAATTTAAAATCACTAACAAGTGGGGTGGTGCTTGGAGCACCTCAATTACAACAGACATCTTCAATCCGGTCACTTTATTAGACATGGATACAGCAACCCACAGCATCTTGGCAAGTGCCAGGGGATAACAGTTGGGTCCATACCCATCCAGATAGAAATTTGAGCGTAAACTTGCAAATCTGCCAGAAATTCTCTGTAATTCCAGCAAGAGGTTCCACAAAGAAACATCTGCAAAAACATGTGGCGCACAGTGACTTCTAGATCACATTTTTGATTAGGTCAAATGCATTGAATATGGTGGCTGCGGTTTTGGGCTTTAATCCATATTTGTTCTTTCCAATACTCATACTGACCCTGAAGCAAGTTGTTTAGAACTTGTGATTAAAAAAATTATTGGCAAAATGACTTAATTACTCCTACAGAGAAACTTATTCACAGGCAGCACAACAACATATTTTTCATAGGGGAAGCCAAGATCTTTAATGTGACTTTGATCTATTTTCACTGGAGAAGTTGGGAAGGGGGAGGCCTTTAAAAATGAGATAATGAGAGTTCGGAGACAGTGTGTTCCTGTTAGTGTGTAGGGCAAGGCTGGTAGGTGTGGGAAACACCGGATGACTAGGGAAGTTGAGGTTCTGATCAAAAAAAAAAGGCGTATACTCGAGGGAAATTGGGAGGGCAAAAATGAGACATGAAATAGGTTTGACAGAGGGTATGGAGAATCCAGAGAGATTCTATAGGTACACTAAGGGCAACAGAATAACTAGGGAGAGAATAGGGCCCCTTAAAGATCACTTAATGAAGGGGCAATGCTCCAAAAGCTTGTGATTTCAAATAAACCTGTTGGACTATAACCTGGTGTCGTGTGATTTCTGACTTTGTCCACCCCAGTTCAACACTTTATGCATGGGAAATTGTGTCTCACTAACTTGATTGAGTCTTGTAGGGGTGACAAAGACAATTGATGGAGGCAGAGTCATAGAAGACGTCTATATGGACTTTAGCAAATATTGGCTTCAGAATTGGCTTGAAGGTAGGAGACAGAGGGTCATGGTGGAGGATTGCTTTTCATACTGGAGGCCGATGACCAGCAGTGTGCCACGTGGATCATTGCTGGGTTCAATGCTTTTCATCATTTATATAAATGACTTGAATGTGAATATAGGAGGCTTGGTTAATAAGTTTGCAGATGACACCAAAAAATGCGATAGTGAAAAAGATTACCTCACAGTACAAAGGGACCTTGGTCAGATGGGCCAATAGGCTGACGTGTGGCAGGTGGAATTTAACTTAGATAAATATGAGGTGTTGCATTTTGGTAAGACAAACCACGGCAGGATGAATACACCTAATGGTAGGGCCCTGGAGAGTGCTGCCGAACAAAGAGACGTAGGGGTGCAGTGCATAGTTCCTTGAAAATGGAGTTGCAGGTAGACAGGATGGTGAAGGTGGTGTTGGACAAGTTTGCCTTCATTGGTGAGGACATTGAGTATAGGAGTTAGGATGTCATGTTGCTGTTGTATAGGACATTGGCGCAGCCACTTTTAGAATACTACGCACAATTCTGGTTGCCCTTCTATAGGAAGGATATTGTTAATCTTGAGAGGGTGCAGAAAAAATTTACAAGGATGTTGCTAGGATTGGAGGGTCTGAGTTATAGGCAGTGGCTGAATAGACTGGGGCTATTTTCCCTGGAGCATCAGAGGCTGAGGGGTGACCTTGTAGAGGTCATGAAGGGCATGGATGGGGGGAATAGCCAACGTCTTTTTCTTAGAGTGCAGGAATCCAAAACTAGAGGGTATAGGTTTAAAGGTGAGAGGCGAAATTGAGGGCAACTTTTTCACACAGAGGGTGGTGCACGTATGGAGGTGCCAGAGGAAGTGGTGGAGGCTGGTGCAATTACAACATTTAAAAGGCATCTGGACGGGTATAGGAAAAGGAAGGGTTTAGAGGGATATGGGCCAAAAGCTGACGAATGAAACTAGGTCAGATTGGGACGTCTGGCAGTGCAGACGAGTTGGACCAGAGGGTCTGTTTCCATTCTGTATGACTCTATAACTACTTCTGACAGGAACAGTGACCTTGATATTCACTATAGTGTCAGTTCAGAGCAGGAGGAGTCTGGTCAAAAGTACGTGATCCCTCCCAGTATTGTGAGTTTTTAAATATGAGGTACTCTTTATTTATTTTTCTCAGGGACTGCATTCAACTGCTAATTTGATTGACAAGCTTGGCTGCCAATGACTGACAAGGTGACGGAGTGACAGGGCTAGCCGCAGGACGCAGAATGCTCTGGAGGGGATGTGCAACATAATCACAGGGCTCAGTGATTGCAGGGAAATTGGGTAGTCTAATGGATCACATGGGGAAGATCACAATGGAATGCAGGAATCAGAGATGATCTTGTGGAAAGATTATAAGGGGTCAATTTACAGGTTTAGATTATTGTACACTGTACATTGCCTACTCCACAAGCAGTGCTGTAAAGGCATTCACTCTATGGTCCTCCTCCCTTCTTACTGACTTTCCCAGCATCCAGGGTATCAGTACACATTCAATTAAGAACACAAACCATGTTGAAATAGACACATAGCTTCTTTCTAAGGTTTCAACAACTGTCCTATCTCTTAAGAGCTGGTCAGTCCACCTGTCCCTTATCCAACCTCCATTAAAACTGCACATGGATAACTTTCAAGGTCAATTGGATTTGAAATTAATTCTACCAAACCAAACCCACTCATTATTGAGAGTTAAAACGGTCCCCACTTGGTTCAGTTTGTGCCCTTAACCATCTCCATTGTCTCCTCCATCCTTACAATCCGCTGAGAATTCTACACTCCCCCCGTTCTGGCCTTTGTTCATCTCTAGTTCATTTCATTCCTCCACCAGCAGTTATGTCTAACTATCTAGGCTGTAAACTTGAAGTTTCTACCTCAGTCCTCCTTGTCTCTCCGCTGCCAAATAGTACTGAGCCAATTGAAGCAGTAGTGACACATTCCATTGACATTGTTGATATTTCACCTAATATGTGCTTACTGCCTCAGTTACTCTACTCTTAAGTCTCCTTCAGCAGTGGCAATGAGATCGAATGTAGAGAATAAGATAAAGGATATTATACAAGCAACTCCAGTTTTCTGGAGGCAAATGTAGCAACTAATCATTATTATCTCATTAGTGGATGCAGGATATGTTTGGTCAATCATTACTAATGAAAATTATTGATCTATGCAATCAGCAATATTGAGCAATGTCAGCAGCAGTGAATGTGCTAATGAACTAATAATTGTTGACTACATTGTAATCTTGCAATCCCAAGGTTCTGAAAGAGAGAAAACAATAGGCAGAGCTCACATGAATCCATCCACCCATTTATTCATCTATACACCTCGGACAGAGGTTATTGTGAGATGGTGTTCTCGTTCACTGGTTGGAAAACTAGTAGGAACCCTGCTCAACTTTCTCGAAAAGGTCCAACACAAGTATTAGGAATCAGGTACTTATCTGAACAGCATCAGAGGTCCCACTATATTTAGCCCTGAGTAGAGCAGAAATCCCATCCAAAGAGGTGCTGAGCAATTAGAGGTCAGCAGCTCTCTAGTCTCAACAGCACCACCAGGAGTGGTAGCCATTGCCAGAGCTACCACTGCAGGAGATATCCCTGGATAGAGAGGCAAGTGTGGGAAGCAGTGCAATTAGAAGGAGGAAGACTTTAAAGGTCTCATGGGGCAGACAGGCCACTCTCCACGTTTCCTGCCTGCCACTAAATGAAATGGTTCCCTCCCCCTTTCCTGGTGAATTACAATTGGCCTCAGCAGGCACTGGGCTGGAGAAAGGAAAGGAAGAGGCTTTGGGAAGGAGAACTTGGCAAGGAGTTCTGTTCCAGTTTGCAAACCATGACCTTTATTGGAAAATGCATTTACATAGCTGCCAGCAGAGGGCAGGTTGGGGCCTGACTTCAACACCATCTAAACTTACTGCCGATAAGACAGAAGCCAAGTTTTTCAGAGATAACAAGGTGTAGAGCTGGATGAACACAGCAGGCCAAGCAGCATCATAGGAGCAGGAAGGCTGACGTTTCGGGCCTAGACCCTTCATCAGAAAAAAGCCAAGTTTTTCAGACTGGTTTATTAAGTAATATGGAGGCATGTGTGACAGGTTCTCAGGTTAAACAGTAAGGAATAGAGGGTGGCATCTCTGGGAGAGCAAGGAAATTGGCTAGGGAAGGAGGAAGAAAAGGTTGTATGAAACAAAATAAAGAAAGATGCAGCAGACATGTTTGCATGCATTACAATTCTATTATAATTCCAATACAATTCTATTAAGTCAGGAGGTGGCACTGTAGTGGTCAACACTATCCCTCAAAGACTGACTGAGGCATTGGGTGCAATAGTTGAATCAAACTTAATCTTGCAAAACGTCTGCTCGCATTAATTCATTTACCAGCGGTTTTCCTTAGTTTTTTTTGTGAACAACTGTACGTGCATAACTCTTGATGATAAGGAATAGTCCTAGAATTCCTGCATGTGCTCAGCAGTATAAATGTTCCTACTGGAATTAACATTAGTGCATGGAGAAATGCCACTCTCTGGGGAGAAAAAAATCGTTCATGGAGTGTCTCCTCTCACAATGCTGCACAGACTTGCATTGATCCCTTGGGTTCAGACAACACTGCTGTCTTATGAGATCAGAGATAGTAGGAACTGCAGATGCTGGAGAATCCGAGACAACAAGGTGCAGAGCTGGATGAACACAGCAGGCCAAGCAGCATCATAGGAGCAGAAAGGCTGACGTTTCGGGCCTAGACCCTTAACCCCACTGCTGCCTTATACCTGCGTGGCCCTCATAATTTCTCCCATGTAGGTTTTGTACAGTCTCTCGCATAACAAAACGCACGCATTCACTAAGAGAAAAGTGATAAGATAACTCACCATGTAGGGGCAAACTTGCGATCCAGCACCGAACATTAGTTCACATTGTTTGTTCGCATCATAGATTTGACCGGGTAACTGGGCTGGAAGATCATAGCTCCTTATTGCTGGCTCATCAAGCAGGCATTCTCCATATCCAGTGCTGGAAACACACAGAGTATGTTTGTCAGCTTTTACAGTCAAATATCATTACTATTTATCAGGTCTACACGTGGGATGGGAGTGTCGGGGAAAAAATAAAAAGTGCACTAGCGATTCATAGCATTTGTTCCTAATGCAGTGCACTTTCGACATACATATCTCTCGGAAGACTGGAGGACAGAAATGCCAATAACATTTAGTAACATCATAAATCATGCACTGGCTAGTTTGAGTCGGATTTAAAATATTAATTGCTAGCTGATCCATGGTAAACCTGCATGCCAAATGTCAGAAAGAGATGCTTGTCTGAATTTAAAAGGCACCTAGTAATTCATGCTCGCATCTGTAGAGGCACAACCTGCTGTTCAAGCTATTGCAATCATTAAAATGCCAATGCTGAGAGTTTTCATTGATTAAAAAAAAGGATGAAATCAAATAGAATTCTCGCCTTTGCATCATTGCAACTTTTCTAAAATATTCATTTTGGGGATATGGACCAGGCCATTCCTTGAGAGTGCCTTCTTCCTCAAATCACTTTAGTTTGTGTGCTGAGGTGTTTCAAATTGTATGGATAGGGAGGCAGTTATGAGACAATGAAGTTTCCCAAGTCAGAATGCTGTGTGATGGAGATGATGGTGTGTCTATGCAGCCACTGATCTTGTCCTCCCACATGGAAGAAGTCACAGGTTTTGGTGTTCTAAGCATTTCATCCACAGTTTCACATGTTCCATTTCCTGACCAATCCAGCAGACAGTTGCACACTAAAAGGACCAGTTTGGCGTCCATAAATCCAGTAACGGAGACTATTAATAAATGCATTTGGCTCTGAAGAGGTAAAGAAGTGGCCAAGACGGGGCCATAAATGGAGTTAAAGCTAGCACTAGGAACTGCCACGGCAGAGCTTTATCAAGCTGACTGTCACAATGCTTACTAACATTCATTCACCTAATACATTCCACAGACAGTGACCAGTTACTTGGGGCTAAACAAGGATTTGATAACGATTTCCACTGTTACTTAAAGGGGCTCTCATAACTTAAAGAAAACTTAGCATTTTCTAGTCATTGCTGCTGAACAAATGATGCCTATCTATGAAACACTGACAGACATTGTGGGCAGCTTTGCCTCCAACACTTTGTCCACATGATCAACATGCACATGCAAGCCAGTATCAATCACTGCAGCTTGGTCTAGCCTTTGCTAGACTTTTGAACCAACTTCCAAGAGGTTCTCACAATGATCTGGGGCAATCCAATTTTATTTGTCTTTTCTCCCAACTGAGGAAGTATTTTCCTTCTCAGTCCCTTTCCTGCAGTCAAGCTGTCCATAAGATTTTGGGCAAATGCATCTTCCATCTTCAGCTAAATTCTCAGCATGAGCCTTTGATTCTTTGGCATCATTCCCATTTGTGAGCAAGAAGGTGCTGAATTGAAACCCTACTCTAGACAATCACAGTGAGCACAGATTATTTTGACATTCAGTGACTACTTGGCATGGATGACATCTTTCCCTTTATCATTTTGTAGAAATCCATGAAGACCCTCTTGGCTTATAGAAGCAACCATCCAATTCATTAGTAGAAAGTTGGTTAATGGTCTGAAAGGCGCAACACAGCCTGTCAGACAGTTCAACAGTCATCTGAATCCTTCAAATACAGGGAACGCGATGGCCTAGTGGTATTATCACTGGACTGTTAATCCAGAGATCCAGATAATGTGGGACCTGGGTTTGAATCCCACCATGGCAGGTGGTGGAATTTGAATTCAATAAATATCTTGAATTAAGAAACTAATGATGACCATGAATCAATTGTCGATTGTCGTAAAAACCCATCTGGCCCTTTAGGGAAAGAAACTGCCATCCTTACCTGGTCTGGCCTACACGTGACTCCAGACCCACAGCAATGTGGTTGACTCTAAACTGCCCTCTGGGCAATTAGGGATGGGCAATAAATGCTACCTAGCCAGAGACCCCCTCATCCCATGAACGAATAAAAAGAAGTGCTTCACACTATCCTCCCAGAGAAGATTAAAAAAAAACTAAATTGTTTTAAAACACCTTCTTGTATGGAAGCTACATCGGCTCCCTTGTTGTTTTCTGCTTTAATTGTATTGGCTTACATGTGGATCCATTTCCTGATGCTTTTTCTGATACATTTTCTTACATACAGCAACAAAGGTTAGAATTACTGAGGAAACATTAGGGAAAAAAATGTCCCGAAGGTGATCATAGGACTTCCTGGGATGTTAAGCCACAGGACATAGAAAGTACCTGATTTAACTGCACTGCCATGTCAGTTAATCTCAGCCAAGGTGCTACTAAAGCTCCCGAGATACAGTGGATAGGTTTGCATGCATTACACATTTCTATTACAATGGAAAAGGTTCCCAATGTTGATTGATATCCAGTGACCTCTGCTGTAAACAGCATGTACACAGGTGTCAAGAGAGAAAAAATAGTCATATCTGGCTGCATTGCACTTTGCAAACAGGTCATCAACACTGATTCGGGTGAGAAATGGAAACTTGACCAAGGTGCTAGAAAGGACACAGTGTCCATGTGTGATACTCCAGTATAATCCAAACCTTCAGATAAAGAGTGGAGAGAAAAATGGAAGAATGCTATTTGCTTTTAATTTGGGAAATGTAACAGGTAAATCAGATATTTTTTAATAAAAAGATCATGAGGATCATGAGTATCATGGTCCAATATGTTGCTGCAGTTACCTGTCACTTCACAATATCAAAGATACAGATTCAATACCCCGTTCCCAGAGCTCAGCCATTGCCCGATGAAAAGTGATGACTGAAAGTAGTCTTATTTCCCACAGAGAGAAAGGGGGATATACATCAAAGGGCAACTAACCCTGGGCTTAAAACATGTACAATCTTGCAATCATTTTACAATAACGACGTTCGAAGCCTGACAACAGGTCACCTTCTCTTCACCCTCTTGACCACTGTCGGTACATTGACCTGTTACACTCTCGGGAGAAGCAGAAATGTAAGACCACCGTGTTGCAGACAGACCTTAAATGTTTCATTTGCATGTAATTTTGTTGTACTTTTAATTGTTATCAGTTCTTAAATGCCTGCAGTGTTTCAAAGGAACTTAGCACCAACCTACCAAAGAACAAAGTGATGCTAAGTTTCCCGCATCAACATGGATAGTTTTTATAAAAGGTTCACAATCAACAGAGACCAGGGGGAAAAGATCAAAGGGTCATGTCAGGGAAAATCTAATTATAAATGACATTTCCCATCTTGAAAAGAGGCTTTTTAGGGTGGCTAGTGCTCACTGCTCAGCTTCGTAGCAACCAAAATCCATCTCTGCAGTTGCTACGATACCTTTTTCCCAGCAAAAACATGCAAAGGAACAGAGATTATTTTGTCAAGATAAAAGCCATCACTGGTAAATATGTGTGACAACTTCAGCGGCACTTGGTCAATTACACTGATTGCAAACAGCTAAATAAATTGTATTTGCACAGGTCTATCCCAAACTATACCTCATGTGATATGTATTGTTTCTATACACTGGAAGATTAAACTGGGGAGAGTAACTGAAACAAACATACTCCAGAAAGTCGGTGATATATTTACGGCTACACTTGGACCAGGTCCATGGGCTGGTATGGTAGTTCAGGGTTGGAGCCATCACATGGTACTGGTGCTTCATTCCAGCCTCTTTGCATTTGAAGCTATCGTCATGAGGCATGTTGAACCTACAAATTAAATAACGATTTACTGGACAGCAACATAAAACGCAAATATAACAGTTGGAATAAAGATTAGCATGTAGCAAAGTATAGGCAGAAGAGGGTTTGCACAAAAAAATTAGTCTCCTGCATTTCATTTAATAACTTGAATGCCTAAATACAGAGCAATACATTTAATTATTATTATAGATAGAAAGTTGCTACTCATAAGTCAGATGAAATGCTGCTTTACAAGTGTAGGAACATTAAATGTCTGATGCCTCTTGTTGCTGTAAAGCCACATCTCCAGCAATAGCATACAAAAGGACAACAAGGTCCTTGTTGTGCAGTGATAATACTCCCAGCTCTGAGTTAGGAAATCTGGGTTCAAAGTCCACTTACTCTAGAAGTGTGTAATAACATCTCCGAACAGATTGATGAGAAATCATTTAAAAAAACATAATATCGCAAAGAATACACACTGCATGTTCCACCTGACAATCACTGAAGCAAACAGAATTGAATAGTAGGTCTACTTTTGAGCAAGAGGCCAGTTTGTATTGTCACACAAGGTCAATTTGGATCCCACAAATGTTATAAATTCGGAGCTCTTTGACTCAGAGCAAGGATCTTACCAACTGACCCAAAGTAACAACCAACCTAGAAAAAGCTGAGAGAAAAATCCTTCCGGACTTGAAAATCTGCTGTAAGTCATTTATAAACTGGCAAATGCTTGTAATTTTCATGTGTCTTTGACTCTACAGTCTAAGATCAGAATGTTACATGGCATAATCTTCAACATGAAGAAAATAATAAAGTATATTCTGAAACAGATTTGGTTCAATTTTAACAGCAAGAGACTGGAAATGCTGTTTGGACAGCCGATTTAATTTTGTTTTAATTTAAACTGAAAATTAAAAATCAGGCAGCTTGCAAAATAAGTAATTGATCTGGAGACAAAAAAAAACTGCAGACGCCGGCATCCAAGGTAGACAAACAGGAGGCCAGGCACGATCTGGAGGAAAGCAGCAGTCAATGTTTTGGGTTTTACTCTTCTTCAGGACTCTTCTGGCCTGCTTTGTTCTTCCAGCCTCCTGTTTTGTCTGCCTTGGATTCCAGCGTCTGCAGTTTTTTTTTCTCTAGATCAATCACTTATTTTGCAAGCTGCTCGATTTTTAATTTTCAGTTTAAATTCTTCAGGATTCTTCTGGCCTGCTATGTTCTTCCAGCCTCCTGTTCGTCTATAAGTGATTGATCTAACTTGAATTTTCCAATTGGATGGGTTGTTAGTTTAACATTACTGGTAATACTTCAAGATAATCCTTTTAAGAAATATATATTAATGTTAAGATTACTCAATGTTTGTAATACTGGAAATGACAATATTCCTTCCATTTTTCAGAAATGTAGCTGTTGTTTTCATAACTTTTTCCACAGCTTACTCAATGTCAGCATCATTTATTTTCATTTGTATTTGTTTCGAATTTAGCACAGCTCATTGGTTCATCAGAAAAGGAAGCCATTGCCAACCAGTATCAATTACAATGATCCATCAAGAAACAGAAACCACAGCACGACTGTATTTGATATGAGAAAATGCACTGCTGAGGTTCAAATAACTTTCACCAGCCTAAATAAACCAAGAATTCCTAAAATGTTCTGTTCAACTTGTGCAGCAAAACTACTAGTACAAAGCACAAGTAGCTGCAACATCACCCGATCTGCTCTTCACAAGCAATTCAGAAAAAGATCTGTATAACTTTTTAAAAAACATTTTGACATTTTGTACTCACCTCTTATTTTAGTTTTGTATAGGTGTGTTAGTTTAGCCGTTCTTTCCACACATAGCAATTAATAAACTCACTCCTTTTGTTAATTAAAGAAAACCTGATTAAATTGGCTCCGTCCAAAACATTCGTGTTTGTGAGAAAGGAATCCATGAGAGAAGGAATCCTTCTTAAATTAACATCATTGTAACCATGAGTGAATAAGGAAGGGAAATCAGTTCATCCCTCCTCACCTCACCTCAACAGCTTGTGATAGCCCATCTGGAACAGTAATGAATTGGGGAACTGTATTCAGTGTCTACTCATAACATGTATAATGACTTTTGCTACGTAGGAAAGAATCTTGATCTGGATACCACAGAGCTACCTGTTCAATAATAAATATTGTCATCCCCAGGAACAGCAAGACAGGACAATGGTTTAACAACCAGGAACTTGCAGGTAAACTATTGGATACTTTTATATAACTTGCTGGGCTCTGAAAAGGTTAATGATGATGAGACCATTAAATATCACCCAATATTCATCATGATGGGTTGGGAGTTAGCTCTGGATCTCGAAGGAAACAGACCTGCTGTCTGCGTCTTCCTCATAGTTCCAGTGCCAATCTCAGTCTTACTCATGTAACTTGTAGCTGATTGCTATCATGCAATAAACTACATCTTATTTAAGACCACTTCTCATTAACCTTCTAAGTATTTTCCCTCTGCCACATCAGACCAGTCAGGCCCTTAAGATCCCAACCTAAAAGGAGGATAGTGGCAGCAAATTTACCTGATCTACCCTTCAGCAAGGTGACTGTATGAAGCTCCATTGTACAACAGATACAAGAACACTGTCCAGCTGCATTAAAGCAGTCTTTAAAGCGTTCCGACTCTGACTACTTGACAGTGAAGACAAGATGGGCAACCAGTTTAGTTAGGCTCATTTTACAAGTAGTACTCAAGTAAGAAACAGGGAAAATGTCCAAAGAATTAGTGTTTACAGATTTCCAGAGCCATGTGATCAGGTTCTCTAAAAAAGACTGCCCGCTAAAATTAAAGCACATGAAAGTGAAGAGAAATGACTCACTTGATTGGAAGATTGAAGGTAGAAGACAGAGTAAGGAGAATGCATGTGTTTTGAATTGGAAGGATGTGACTAGAAGGGGAGAGGCAATAACGTAATGGTAATGTCACTGGTAATCTAGAAACATAGATTAATGTTCTGGAGATATGCGTTCAAAGCCTACTAATGACAGATGGCAATATTTGAATTCAATAGAATTCCACAATTAAAAGCTAACCTAATGGTGACTGTGCATCAATTATTGTTTAAAAACCCATCTAGTTCACTTAATGTCCTGTGGGGAAGAAAATCTGCCATCCATACCTGGTCCGGCCAATATGTTACTTCAGACAGCATTGTTGAATCTTAACTGCCCTCTGAAATGGCCAAGCAAGCCATTGACTTCAGGGCAAGTACAGTTGGGCTTTAAATACTAACCTAGCCAGTAATGCTACATCCCATGAATGAATTATTAAAAACAAGAGTTCACAATGATCTGTGCTGGTACTTATTAGTGATTCACATGTTGCAATAGAGACCACATATGCAATTTATTATGTAAAGATTGATGGCAATCCTGGAACAGAAGGATTTCAACACAGGTAAATGTGAGTTAAGTTTAGAAATAAAAAATAATCTGAGCAGTATTTCAATAATTAAAAAGTTAGGAAAAGTCCAGAGAGATTTAAGGAGCCATGTACACAAATCACGAAAATATACAAGTCAGGCTAAAGATTAAAATAAAAATAAAGCTAATGAAATGGCAGCTTCAATAACTAGAAGGCTTGAATATGAAGAGGGCGATTATATAGCTTTACAAAGCTTTGGTTAAACCTTATTTTGAGTACTGTGTGCAGTTCTGCAAATTGCACCTTAGGAGTTCAACACAGATTCCCGGGGATAGTACAAGAATTCCAAGGGTAAGATTATGAGCAGAGATTACATAAAAGCAGCTCGTGTACCCTTGGCAGGGTGTGAGGACAATCAGCTGTTCAAGTTTTGTTGCAGGCCAATGGTGAATCAGAAGAAATAACAGTTGTAAAAATAGCCCGAGAGACATGAGAATGTAACATTTGCAGTTCACCTCCCTGATTAATAAATATCAACAATTAAATATTTGAGTTGGGTTATTTTAAAGTGACACATTTCATCATTCCTGGATTTGATAAAAACAATCTTTAATAATTTCTTTAATATTGCAACATATAAAACAATAAAGGTTAAAATCTTAAATTTCATACCCAAGTTCTTTAATCGAAAGCCCAATTTTTTGGTTAAACCTGTTTCAAAGCCATATAATTATCACATTACATCTAAGGGGAAAGAAAATAAAATAACAGAGACACTCCAAGTTAACTAGGAAAGATCAGTAGGTTGCAGGTCTGTAATTTGGCAGGTGCATGTGTAAAGTAAAAGGAGCAAAATAAAAATAGGGCTCAGCAGGAAAATAGCAAATGACATGCAGCTAAACATAATTTCGTATCATGTCCGACCACTGCTCCAATCATATCCAGTTGCAAAACCGAAATAGCACTGTTATCAGAGAGACAGCAGCCCTATAGACAGTAAAATTACTTACACATGTCCCAATTCATGAGCTATAGTGAAAGCAGCACTTAAACCGTTCTCTTCACTAATGGAGCAGCTGCGATATGGATCGCACATTGTACCAAGTTCTGCTAATCCTGAAAAGAATGGGAATACACAGTTTAAATTCAGTAACTGTAAGCCACAGCTTTACAAGAGTACAAGGACAGTAAAAGTAAGAGTTGTCCACACTGGACAGATACTGTCTGGCACTTTAACCATCCCCGGATTACATACCCCTTTGGTTGAAAGGGTGGCACATATAACACTAAATTAAAGACAAACCATGAAAATAGCTACTGATCATTTCCTTTCTAATGTCCCCTCCTTGTGGAAAATGTCACATTTCCTTATTCTACACCATTTATAGCACTGGAACATCAGTGTAGTGATGGAAAGAATGCTACATACGCTAAGTCTGAATACTCTCAAATCATCACAGATGGAACTATTTTAACCTCTATCATCTGGCATAACAAAATGTTAATAATACCATACTTTAAGAGTCCACTGCCAGTCAGTTATACGCATTATTTCTCATCATCAGTTCAATTGACCAAAGAAAACCAGTATGTTTCAATATGTTGCTCAAGCCCTCTTGGGTCCTTTCCAGCCCAAAGTTAAAACAATTGCTTTGCACAAAACCTTTCTCCATTGCTCCCTTCACTAGTCCTATTCAATTATGTCAAAATCCACAGGCATAGATCGGCCTTCAATATCTGGTAAAGTGCACTTTTGTTTGCTGGTGACCTTCGACAATAGGAGTGGGAATTACAGCTGAATCTGATCACACCCAAGTTTGGCACTTGCAATCACTCTGTATTAGGACAGTCCCATCCCTTCGCTCAACAGCATTGCACCTTGTGGTGATGGTGAGGAATTATGTGGGGTTTTCCATTTACAATTGCATATTTGATAAGCCAGCAGGAAAGACAAGTAATTTCAAGATTTGTACATTTCTCTCCAAATGTATGTACCACCATAAGCTTCCTTGGAGAAAGATAGCATAATTTTGAGATGGATATAAGTAATATTGGACTAGGAATAGGAAACATTCTTAATTGAACATGGCACCAAAACATTTCCTTCACTTAAAATCTAGGTGGATCAGGTATTAGTGGAGATTCCCAAATAACTATCAGTATTTAATTAAACATTGGACTTTAAGAATAAAGTTAGAGTTCATGACCAAGGCTCAGGTCTGTTTTAGAAAGTACAAATTCAGCTCAGGTTTAAAAGGAAAATGCAATACGATTTCTGGGTTGTCAGGCAGCATAGAGGCAATGGATACAAATTAGGATATGGGCAGCATGAGATTTGGAGGAGCACAAGTTAATGGCTTTTGGGAGATTGTCTATCAGGGTAATGGGATAGTTGAGGCTGGACAGAGCAAAGGTATCACTAAGGGGCTTGGTAGCTGGTGAGCTGAGATAGAAGAGACAGAAAGATGTAATGCGATGAAAGGAGAAACCTTTGCGATGGAAAGGATGTGGAGATGAAATTTCAGCTCAGTTTTCAGATTGTGACTGATGAGTGAAGGAGCATGAAACTGATGCCGAGACAACAATGTTTGTGGCAAGGTGTGACAGCAATAGTTTTAATCTTCTGAAAGTTTAACTGCAGGAAATTACAGCTCATCCAAGACTACATGGCAAATAAACAGGTTGACCAAACTGAGAAGTCAAGAGAGATCATGGGGTGGGTAAAGCTGGATGTTGTCTTGGTACATTTAAACCTACGTATGTCTTCAGGTGATGTCACTGAAACATTGCATGAAAGATGAAAAGAACAAGAGGGGGAGTAAAGGATAAATTCACGGGAAATTCCACAATAACAGTGCAGGAGTCAGAAGAGGAATCTTTACAAGTTATTTCCTGGTTCCGACAGATAGCAGTGGGAACTCTTTAGTCCACAATAATACCAACCACATTCCATGCTCTACAAGGAGTAGGATCAGATACTGTAGCCTCTCATTATAGTGACAATTACTTCTTCAATGTTTCGTCTCTTATATGAGCAGTCTATAGCAGTGTTCATGTAGTGTGATTTTTCTGTAATATTGCTCACTAAAAGGAGGATTTACTGTTATCATTCTCCTTCACTATAGAGGTCAACAGGCCTGCTTGGTCTAGTGTGAGAGATGAAAACCACTTGATATTCTAAAGTGAAGAGGCTATAGTCTCAAACAGGATGTAGTTTATTGCATGGCAATAATGATGTACAAATTACAAGAATACAATAGAAATTACTGTAGAAACTACAAGGAAGACCAGTTTTGTCAGTCTTACTCCTTCAAAATCTAAAACTGTTCTCTCATCAGGTTTGTTTGACATCATAATGTTTGGTGTTTCCAGCATTCCTCAGCATTAACCCTTTCAGATCCTTACATCTGCTGAACCAGAGCTTTTCTTCATTGCTGTATCCTGGATCACAAAACCAGACAGACAATTCCTTCTTTATAATTTCCTGGACTGCTGAAGCGGGCAATTTCTTCTTGACTGTGTCCTGAAGCTTTCAATATTGACCATCCCATCTCAGTGATGGTTTCCATGGAGCTGTATGGATCAAGTCTTTAAATTGGTGTCGGCAGTTCTTATTTGCAACCTGCCAGTAAATCTGTTTGGAAGTGCGTAGACTCTTTAAATTGTTGATTGGGTTGGATATTTTGTTTCTACTTTGGTGACTGTAATTTTGTTGAATCCAACATATTCACTCCTGCAGTCATACGATTTGAGGACTGTGTCTTGCTTAGCATGATCTTTGTCACTGGTGCTGAGCATTCTTCTTGATCCTGGGAAGATAAGGAAATGAAATTCTTTGTTTGAACTTGTATCTTCTAAATCATCTCAACATCTAATATCAGACTTAAATTTGTCAATACTATTTGTTCACCAAACTCTGTGGCACTCTGATCTACATCAATTAAAGATTCATCAATAAGCTCAAGTGGGGCATGGTGCTCATTGACTATATGATTTCATGTGAATTCTTACAAGCTTTGCTGATTCTTGCAGACTGATCTCTCTTCAGTGTTGATAGCAGTGGAAAATATTTCTGCCAATCCAGTACAGTTCCAGGTTTCCATCTTGCTTACAGTTTGAAACAAATGCCTCATGCCAAAATGACTAATCTCAATGGATTCTGTCTTCTGTTTGTGTTCTGCCATAAGTCGAGGGAACCTTTTAAGTTTTCTACCAGTTGTTCTTTGATTTTTCCATGGCTGACAATTCCTGAACCAAACGTTCCTTGACTTGTTATTCGAAGACTGGCTTTCCTTGGACTAATTGTTTCTTGCTTTTAACTGGTTCACACCTTCTGCCATTTGAAGAAGATTGAAGTCAAGAAACACATTCGCACTGAGAGTGAAAATTCTAGATTGTGAAGTATGTATATATTCTCTATTATCTTATACTCCTTGTGTTGGACATTTGCTTATAGCTTACCTTTAACCTTAAGTGTCAAACCTCCTAGATCATATGGGTGCACTGCTGTTGGCTGTACACAATGTTTTTTAAACCATGAGGTTCTATTTGAATCACAGTGTCCTATTTGATGACACTTAGTCCTGTATCAGGTTGAAAACTAGGCAGATGCTAATTGACATAAATAGCTTCTTACCAAAAGACTAGATCGAATCACCTATCTTCCCTAGGAATACAGTGAAGAATTGACAGGAATCTATTCTTAGTGGTTTTTGATTCTTCAAAGTAGCAGTAAAATGAAAATCAAAGGCAGTCAGGTAGTGTATATGAAATTATTGGAAATTCTGTGTGGTACTCATGACTGGATTGGCCCCATCCACTTCTATGGAAGTTTGTGCACTAGTGAGGTTGAATGATGAAGCTGCGAAGCATTATGGAAGCAAACTGTGGCAATATGATTATAACCAGTTAGGAGAAGAGAAAGAGGAGGAAATTTGATTCAACTTTACTGTCATTATTCAGTGAAAGCAATCAGTTATCAGTGGGCGCCCCATTTCACTAGTTGAGATGGATGACTATTTATCTCCATCCATTTCCCTCTTCCTAATATGTGTACAGAGGGTCTCCACCTTCAATTTCAGAAGAAGGGTCCCGATCCAAAACGTCAACTTTCCTGCTCCCCTGATGCTGCCTGGCCTGCTGTGTTCCTCCAGCTCCACACTGTATTGTCTCGGACTCCAGCATCTGCAGTTCTTGGTATCTCCGGATGATTTTGAAGACTCCTGTTGGTGTGTATAACTGATTGAAGTCTATGGCTCACTTGATTAAAACCACTCTGGTATCAAGGTATTTTTCTCTCCCACTCTATCTGCAGTTGCCTGACTGGAATCGTAAGCGGAGGTTGCAGGAGCTACTCCTGATCACCAATCAACCATCCTGAGGTATCCCCATCATCAAGGGTGGAATGTTGATTAGTTGCATGATAGAAGTGGCAAGACAGCTTCATGAATAAGGACTTTAGAGTTTAGGAATTATACCAAGAATAGTTGAAAGCATTCTGAACAGAACCCTGACTAACGAAATTTAGGAGATTGTTGCATGAAGCTTTTAATGCCAGATGTTTGCCAATTGCAATGATAAGAAGTTTGCAAATCTACAAAATAGTCAGGACCACTTTCTTGTATTTGCAGATTCAAGGGGAAAGATGCTAAACTGTGAATGATAATAACCTGGTTCAGTAGAGCATCAGCTACTTTATGCATTGATACACAGCTCTGACCAACATGATAAACAGTGTCTAAAGCTGTCCGGAAGAATCCAGTGACAAGGAAACACTCAGGGCAGTAGCAGATTATGAAACGACTTGGAGTAGGAGTGGTTTGTAGTCAAGTACTGGCATAATTCCCCAACAGCCTTTGGATAGAAGCACAAACTTCTGAAGCATTTATGAGCCAAGAATTTCAAAGTGCTTAATGTGAATCCCTTCCAGAGGTTTAAAAGGTTCAAAACGCACATATCTCAGGATTTATGGTATTTCACTGATTGGCTCAAAAAAAAAATGTGCATTGAAATTTGCGAGTCAATATGAGAAAGTTGGAAACTGTGAAGGCTCCAGTCAGTTAGAAACAGATTAACTTGCTGCCCAATTCCAATAAGGATAACTTACAAAGACGACA